AGGGGTTCATCTCCACAGGGACTGATGAGACTGCCCATGAGAACTGCCCTATGTAAACCTAGCCAGAAGCTGATAAAGCAGAGAATCCCATTTCTCACTGAAGCAAAACTGCAAGTACTTAGGCAAAGGTGCAAACTAAAAATCCTGGGCTTGTATCTCTTGATGCCAAGAGTACTTACAGTACTCTACTTACTGCTACAGTAAGAAGCCAAGTGCCTCTCCAGCTACCTAAAATGCAGACAAAAAGGGTGTCTGAGGTCCTAGCAACAGGTTGAGGATGGTGCTTTGAGGGTGTGAGAGAAGCTTAACAGTCCTATTGCTGAAAGAGAGGGAAACAAGGGAGGAAGGAATTCTACCGGGTCGCCTGGACCTTATTGTTCTACTTCCAACATGTAGCACTATGCCCCCTAGATTTAAAAATAAACCCTCTGGGCTTTCTTCAATGAGGCAGACATGTGGAAGGGAGACAAAGTGTCTGCAGCTCTGGTGTTTAAGATCTGCTTTTCCTGGAGGCACTCGCCTCCAAATGGAAACATGGTGTCTGCTAGCATATCAGATGATTATCAAACACAAGCCATGGAAGAGTCTCTAGAGCCTCTGCAAATGTTTACTGATACTGTCAAGGGAAGCAGATACACAGCCAAGAGAGTGGCAGCTTTCACATATGGTTTTTCTGTTGGGATTCACTGTTCACAGTTGCTACTCTAAGCCTCATGTTTCCTTACTTTAGGAGAAAGAAAGAATCCATCTGGATTTCCAGATCTTTGAGAACTCACAGGCCATGATAACTGTTGGGCAATTGCTCTGTGTGTAATTGGAGATCACAGTTACTCCTTTAAGCAGTTATCAGGATTGCAATTATTCCTTCCAGTTAATCACTACTACTTGTTGCTTAGTTCCAAACTGTAGATGATGCCCTTAAGGTCTGTACCCTAAAGTCATACCCAACCTCTTCATCACCCTTAAAACTGTTTCACATAACATCAGCCTCCCAAGAAAAGCACTCCTGAGAAGGGTCTCTCTTTCTAATTTCCTTACTTTTGTTTAGCACCACAGCTCTATTCACCTTCTGACTATGTGATCTTTTAGGGTACTCAGTGCAGTTCCAATTCAGAGAATTGCACCTAATTCACTAAGACCTCAGGACTGGTCTGTGCAAAATGAGTCACAAACTGGCACCTCACTAAAAAAAAAAAAAGATATTTGGCCTATTCAGTCAGTTGCTGCTGTCTCTGTCAAAGCTTGCCTGCAGTCCGGGGAGGTCTCCGGGCGGATCCCTTGTCCACCAGCAGCTGTCAGTCGTGAGCTGCCCTGCCCGAGTCCTGCACCAACCACGCAGCATCACCATGGCTAACCACGGACACTCCACGACATTAACAGGTTCCTAAAAATAATAATTAAAAAATAATTAATGAACAAAATTCTCTAGATGTTAAGACTGTTAAAACAAAGAATGACATGTATCTACTCACCTTTATTTGGAGAAGAGTTGATTCCAAATTCGGCTGCCTAATGTTTCAGGATATATCCAAAAGCAGGGCATATCTACACACTTTCAGAGAGAGTTTGCAGGCAGCCAGAGCAAGGCAGGAGTCCTGGGCCAATGCTTTTACAGGGACATTGTCAAAATTAACAGTCACGGGGTAACTCCCTGGGCACCTTCTCTGCTCAAAGCCAGTTACAATAATAATTTCAATAACAATTTTTACCTCCTCACATAAAAACTTAGCTTCAAATTAAATTGTTTTTAACATGTTTCAGAAGGTACATCCTCCTGGAGTAGATCAAAACTTCTAGGCTTGAGCCATTCAGCCACCTGACACTGCAAGACGATTCTCATTTGCTTCCTGAGGCAGTAAGAGTCACTTTGCTGTGGTCTGACAGCATTTGGTATCACACAGAAGCCAAGAGCTGACCTTGATAATGCCAGAAAAGGGAAATCAAACCAAAAAATCTTACGAATCTTTTGGCTGGATTGAAATCTAAGTGCCTGACAGATGACTGGGTTTCCCAAAGGTAAGGTATGTACAAAATGTCCAAACAGCAGCTGTCCTTAACATTAGTCTATCAAATAAAGAGGTGCACTTGCAGACTAAGTGTCAATACATATTAGTATTCATCTTAGGACATTTTAAAAAATGACTACAATCCACAAGAGAAAAACAGACTAATGACTACTTTAAGAACAGTTAAAGATTATCAGGTAATATACAGTCTCATGGAGAAAATGCTGGTTCATTTACTAATGACCAGCAGGTGAGTTGAAGTCACTGTCAGTGCAAAGCATTTTTGTTGGCTGTCAGATGCAACACTAGTGAAGCTAAGGTGCTTGAATCTCATTCCCATAAAAAGTATTCTTCAGTCTGCAAGCAAAAATAAAAACCAACCAACCAACAAAACAAACAAATAAAACATACAAAAAACCCCTGAAAAACCCACAGCTTTGAAAGAGATTTGATTCCTGCAGACCAGCCAGTTATAGAGAATTTTTCTTTTTAAACATTCCCTTCAGGCATAACTAGGGACTTAACAACTGAAGTGGAAGAAATGGATGATGTCTACTTGAGCAGTACAAGGTACAAAGGCTGGTAAAAGCAGTATTAGAATTTACACCTCAGGGAAGGAAGTGAAGTTTTAGAATCTGTCAGGAGAGATTCAGATGTCATCTACATCTTCAAAATATTGTACTTATCTCAACAAAAAGAGAAACTGTTACTGCATAATGCTCCAGGTCTTCTTTGACAGGGACATCATCTGTCAAAGATGGTGCATTTTCCACCAAGAGTTCCACACAAGCCCTTTAATTAGTCATTCTGCAACAAAAAACAATGTGAGCATCACAGTGATCTCACACTCACTAAACTAGCAATCTGCCAGGCAGGAAATCAAAGGCGGTGATTCAATTTTGCACTGCACAGCTCTCTGCAAGATTTGCCTTGTTTGAGGAGATGACAATGTCTGTAACAATGCTTGTCTACAGGCAACTTATTTCACTGAGACCTAGCCATATACTGGAGTTGACAGTCCACTTTCTTTTTGAGATGGTTTCTAAGAAGATAATAAAAGCCTATCACAGAGTCAAAATTCCAGCTAAATCATCACTTAAAGATTTATCAGAAAAGCAGCAGAAGAATCTCTGTTTTTCTTCACCTTTTACCTCCTCTTTTAGAAACAGTAACTGATCTCATTAAAATGAGTGTTATCACAAAATAAAAACCCACAATATTCACCCAGAAAAGTTCTCCTGTTGCTCTGAGCAAACACAAGCCAGAAGGCTCTTTGCTACATCCCTATTAAGAACTTAACTTTTTAGATGACTGTACAAGGGGTAAAATAATACTTTTCATTAACTTAATTGCCACTGCATGAAGAGTAGGTCACCCCATAATGCCCCACTGTTGTGCTACAGCAATAATATCATGCTACAGACAAAGAACTTATCCCAAAGCAATCTTGCTTAAACAGGGGCGGGAAAAGGACAGGAGAACTTGTATGAAACATGAGAACTTAAACTGAGAGAAAACAGGAGAACTTAGACTGCAAGTGTATGGTAGATTTGAACGGGGCATCATTGCTTGAGCAATTTTAAAGCCTTCCTTGTCTGAGAAAATAAAGAAAAATAATCCATTTCATTTCAAGCAGCTCCTGAGACAAGCACTGTTAAATGCCAGTTTCTCTAACACAACCACCCCAGCCACTTTCCAGCCCTGCCACTGGTAGAGTTTTACAGCTGTTTGATGTGGTGTATCTTTGAGAATGAATCTGTAATTTACAAGTTCTAATTTCGAGCAAGACTCTTTACTGATCTGCCACCCATTCCCACAGATATAAAAAAAATGACTACACAAAATATTCCTATTAAAAAACCCAGCTCCTTAAAGATTAAATGTTTGAAAACAGAATAGTTTTATTTGGAGTAAAATACAACATACACATGAACAGGGACAGATGAACACATAGAATGCACTAATAAGAGGCTGACAAATAAATACAAGGCAGAGAGTTACAAGTAGAAGACTTGAGAGAAGTAAGCTGTTTTCTGATGAGGTTACATTAAGAAAGGAGATAAAAATATCTAAAATAACTCATTTCTCAAAAAAAGTTTCTCCATTAACTTTCCTACGAGTTTTCAGATTATCATCTCAATGCTAAGAATACTGGCAAAATCAGAATCTGTCTTCCAATGCTCAAATTTGTTTCAGATCAATTCAAAAGGCATTAACTTCAGTTAGTGGCTTTATTTGAAAGGGCCAGCGCTTCAGCTATAAAGCATATTTACCTCACTGGCTCATGAACATCCTCTACAAAAATGCTAGTGACCACATTTTGCTGAGGTATGACATGTCCAGTGCGAAGTGTGTTTCTTTTTTTTTCTCCCTACTTCTTACTTTCACTGATGCAATTTTTACATATAATGCTGACTACACTAACTACACAAAAGTAACAACTGGACTTTCCACCTTGGAGACATAAAAATCCCTAATACTCACT